TATACGCTAGTACAGGACATTGTATTGCATGTGATATTTAACAGCATGCTTTGTGGCATACTTATCCGTGCTGCACAGTAGTACTAAGCACAAAGTACAATACAGCGCCCAAGTAAAATACCTTACCTTAACATGTACTACTTTAGACCAAGTTTTCCGGTACTACGTTCTATATTAAGTATGTATTACTGCAGAAAGCAGGGCAATGATTATGTATGATTAAGGACTATTAACTCTTCTGGAACGTCGTTTGTGATGAGCACTTGGTTGCTCTAGCGAACAAAAAATGATGAGACAGATTTACCGCAGATGCCAAAATACGATGTACTCCTGACAGTCTTGAACTACGCCCCCTGGGCAACTAAGAGGAAGGCGGTGCGCCGTTAAATCTTGTCGTTGACTATGCATGTACTATTTTGCACAACTGTGACATAATCCATTATTACGCAATACCGCAAAACATACTGGCACATACAGTTCTTCAGCTGTCATGATATGTACTGGATATCATTCTAGTATTACACAAACAACAATTCAATACCAAATTGTTGCACTTATCATACTGCAGTAATAATACTATGGCATGTGCGAGGACAGAGCATCGCAGTATCACAGCAGCATATGTTAATAAGTGACATTACTGCAATATGCAAGGGCATGTTGTTTGAAGACTGTGCTAGACTACTGAGCTAATGTATCTACTGTGTTAGGATAGCAGTTGAACAACAAATGCCCATGTATATTGCAATTTCATTTAGCGGCATATGCATCTCTGTTTCTTTATCTGCTGCTACGTATTGCTATATATCATTCTACCATTACTGATCTATAATACGGATGGTAATATTTTGCTCCATCGCTATATTTATAAAATAATAAAATATCACATGCTGCAACATAATGTCAGTGTAATGTGTAACAGCAAGCAACAGCTATAGCTACAGCTATACAGAGAGTAATATATATTACTACTGTGCTATACTATAGCGTTCAGCGTGGCGACGTACACACCACGACGTGATATCGTCGGATAACTGCACATTCCACAAAATACGTAACTCTTGCACACTAATGATATACTACAACATTTCAATACTGTCTAATATGCTGCTGCAATAGTCTGAGTTGTCAGATATAATCTACTGTTACAATGTTGAAAGACTACGTGCTAGTTTTGCAGAATATACCGTTCATGTTGTCCCACTGCTTTACTACCAGCAACAATAAGTGCTATCATGGTTGACTAATGAGCTCCATGTTAGAGTGAAAGTAGAGTAAAACAGAATACACTACATTATGCGCAACTATAATAAACAGCATAGTACCAAAATATGAACAATGTTTTCGTTCTCCTACACTAAAAGACAGCAGTGCAGCTTTACTATATGCGACTCACGTCACGGTCTACAATCCTACTGTATTAAATCATTACAATACGAATGGAACTAATGCAATATCAACAACATCTAGTAGAATTATTCCATAGTACAACGCAGCAGAATATTATACCACAGTTGAGTACATAAGTATTTAATAGTGTATGCTATTCTACCGCCATCCTAACACAGTGGTAAATGTTATTGCTACGCTACACCATACCACTAGTACCATATTAAAAGTAGAGTACTATCATATTATGCAGAACTATGAAGCGCGCAATCCCAATATTGTCACCCATGCTGGCATCGAAGCATTTTGACTGTATCGAATATCTCTCCCAAGTTTATTTTACGTTTGGGTTTGCTAAAAATGACCAAGAAAATAATTCGCATATGCCACTGTATTAGCAGCTGTAAAACATTATACTACACACACAGCTAAAGAATCATAAATAAGTTATATTATAGATAATGTCAATACCAAAATGGCCTGTTGCTGCTATCCCGCATGATCACCAACGCAGAAACAAAACAGTTCATCTTTAGACACATGATATGTACAGTACTGCTTTACCACCCCACAAAAGATCTAGATATCATTGGCATAGTAACTATATTTTAGTGGTATTTCCGTCATAGCATATTTGGATTGGGACTTAAGGAATCACCTTATTCATGTCGAGCATCACCAATTTGCAAAAGAGGAGCTGCCAAGCTTATAATTTCGCAGATGATCATGACATCAATAATGCTGCAACATAACAACATAATACTATTACACAGTCAACTTAATCTATCAGTGACACGCAGCAATGGGTAACATGTTACAGGGAGTAATGCGGTATTACTTGAATTACTTGGACCGACCAGTAATGGGTGACGAACCGCAGCGTTCGCAACAAGGCCTCCATTCCTCAGTTTTTCGATCTTCCTGGCTGCTGATACAATCTGCCCATCATCGTGATGGGTAATCGAATAGCCTAATCCGCCCTGCGATGATACCAGTCGATGATCAATACCGACCATCTTTCGTCGATGAGTGGAGTTCCGTTCCCGGCCCATTTTACCTTCTTCGTTCAGTTTTCAAAGACAGCGTCATCATTATAATCCACTATCTGATCCTTGTGCTGGAGATGTGGCAGCGATATGAAATTCCTAACAAGCTTCTTTCCATGACTCTTTCTGTGGCAGAGGTGGCGCTCCTCAGCTTCAATGAATGAGTGACCACGTCTCACAGACATAAAACATTGCCGGTAGGACGTTAGAATTGAAAACGTGACCATGAGTGTCTTTCATGATGTCACCTGGACCGACGTCCTTGATGTAATGAAACGCGTGCCATCTGGCCACCCTTTCCTCGTAGCGGTATGTTTATCTCATGACCGAAATAAATGCACATATCGACTCGATCTTTAAAACATTTAATATTAACTCAGCCTTCGGCAGGACATCCTAACGCAGCGTCTCTATCTCTAACCGACAGATTGGCAACAAGACTACTGCACTATTTCTTTCGAGCTCTTGCGAATGACTGGTATTCTATGCAAACAACACCATGTCATCAGTGAAACTTTGATGGCTGAGCTGTTCACCACTGATTTTAATCTCTCCTTTGCAGTTCATTCTACCGAACACCGTTTCCAAGCAAGGCAGTGCAGAGTTCGGGGAAGAAGGTGACCCTTGTTTCACGTCCTTATCAAAGGTAATCCACAAAGGGTGCCAAACAGCATGTTTGTGAAGCAGCCAGAGTTTAATTCCCTTAACAGGTTAATGCAGCGGGTGAATATGACCTGTTTCGTCAATACAGCCCACACGGCGTTGCACTTTCTTGTAGTAGACAATGGCTATGCACGCAGGTAGCTGGAATTCTCTGGCGAGTTCGACGGCTTGACTTTCTGTGAAGATGTTATCCGTTACACCGTAGAATGCTATATACAGCTGTGTATACGTATGCAGTGGCATACTGTGATCCATCGCAATACTAAATAAGTGGTATAAGGAATTGCTATACTACACTATGCCGTAATACAAGACACCACTACTACTGAAACAGTATCATCAAGCAGTACCATGTTATAGCGTAGTGCAGTAGCATTCCACGCCAGTGCCA